CACCCAGCGCCAATACCTGGATTCACTTCAGTCGCTGTCCCTGCACCAAAACCATTCCCAAGCCTCTAGCCTCATAACAGTGTGTGTGTGCATTACATTATAAACACAGCGTGATGCTATTTGTATGTCTACTGTTAGAAAATATGTAATTTAGCACTGGCTATGAGCGTTGACGTCTGTATTAAGTGTCGTTGAGCTGTGTGTTGGAGCATTAGAGCGTGATTTATATCCTAGGATGGATAAAGGGTGATCCTCTTGTCCAGAGGTGAGAAGTATAGAAAGGGAGGAAATAAATGTAAAATCTTGGAAAAGCAAAACACATACACGCTGATACTAATTGAAATAAGTGGCAACATTTCAAGCAGGTAGATATGCAAATGACAAATGGCATACAGCACACACTGACACACACAGTTAGCTTTCAGGCAGACGGATCCAGAATCAAACACACAGACGTACAGTCAGCGTTACACACCGAGCCCAGGGCCGCGCTGCAGGGGCCGCGCAGCAGGGGCCGCGCTGCAGGGGCCCTCTCCTCCTACACCAGTGTCATGTCTCTGGTGGGAGCCTGTCTGTCAGCCGGGTTTGACACGATGACGTCGGGGTAACGTTGGAAAACCATTCTTCTCGATCTTGCATTTTCTATCTCGAGTATGGATGATTTGTAAGTAAACAGAGCTGTGATAGAAACTCTGTGGTATGTTGAATTGGACTAAAGAGACATAAATACGTTGCTGTTATATCATTTTAGATAGATTTGTTTGTGTCAGATCATTTTATAGTAATTTCTCATTTACAAGAGCACAGGTTTTATCTCACAGTTGTAATTAGGATTCTAACTGGTGGTGTAAGTGCTTCTTTATCTTTATGCTTAAATTATCCCTATGTCTGTTCATCTTCCATATCTTTGATGCTGCAACAAGCTATTTCCCATCAGGGGACTTTCATCTTATATAACCACTGCATAGAATTTATGCATTTCAAAAGTGATGAACGTAAATGTAGTTCATGCACACACTAGACATGTATGTTCCCATGCACATATTTCAATATTTCATTTAAAATGTGGCCATGTGCATTTCCGTGTTGTCTATATGCTATATCAGTTTAAATGTTCCTGCATGTGCCAGCTGAGTAAAAGCACTGTGGAGCAGTATAAAGGAGATGGAAAAGTAAAAATGGCCCACATGTTTTACCTTTTCCTCCACATTTGGTTGAAGACAGCGCACAGTGCTTGAGTTTGAAGCTTAAAGACCCCTTGCTGAGTTCAGTCCAAAGCTGGACCTTTCCAAGGACATCACAGCACATGATATATTATGAAGAGAAGCAGCCTCTGCTTTTGAAAGCCTTTCCCCATCTTTTTCATCTGGAAAGGGACAAAGATGGATCCATTTTCCAGCAGACATGATGTTGCGTGTGTGTGTGTCTGCATGGGGTACTATGGTAGTCTTTTTTCCATACTTCCGTGGCCCTGAAGCTTTTCTGCTTGTGTCACGCTATGGCTGGCTGCACACATTACAGAAACTCTTACTGCATGAGTGTAATAGCGAGGACAGTGTGTTATAGAAACCTGGTGATTATGACCTGCTGTGAACAGCTCACTCTCTCACACCCCACGTCGCTCCATCTCCCTCCCCTCTGTCTTTCTCTCGTGGCCACTTTGATCAAATCTGTGCTCTTACGTCCTTGACTGCTGCCCCCGATGCCTGACCCCTGCATTTGAAATTTCCCCGCTTATGTAAAAGTTTATGTAGATTAATGCCACAATTTATGCAGATTGAGTTTTTGCCACTCAGGCTTGAAGCACTAAAAGGTAGATGAGCGCTGACCTTCCCCGCTAACAGCTACGTGAGCTCTCACCGATTATCTCATAACTGCTACACAGTGTTAGTCCAGTGGCAGACAGAGAGATGGGGGGCAATTTCAGAATTCATATTGTTCCATTTTGAACTTTTTTTTTTTAACAATGTCACTTAAAACAAGGCTGTCTTGTTGTAAAAATGGCATTTCGGAGGCTTAGTAGGTGCAGTTTGTGTCACAACGGATCACACACAGACGTGATTGTCCCTTTTAAAACATATTGCTGTCAAACTCAAACAAGTGGCAGCAGTGGCATCAAGCAGCCGTCTGTGTGTCGAACCTCCACAGAGCCGTTCACTCGCATGTGGCAGCAGCGTTGCCGAGGTTGAACAGTCAAGTGTCATCAAGAGCAGTTTGCCATAGAAATGGGTCCATCTGAACGCAAACAAAGGGCTGGCACTTGACTCGACCCGCTCCGTGTAGGCTAAGTGTGCACTGGTCTGTCTGATACTGGAAAGAGTATAGAGAGTAGACATGAAATGTCACTGGTATAACTTCCCCTGGCTTTGTTGGAGGGGAGAAGGTGTTGTTACATTCAACAGTGACTTTCAGGTTGAACGTAGTACTAATATAGCAATGAAAGGGTAGAGTCAGGCTGAGAGGTTTTGGATGTGAAGGTATTTGTATTTTATGATAATTTTTTGCCTTTCGCCTTCATTTTAAGTGAACATAGTATTTGTAGTTCCCTATAAAGAACTAGCAGAGCAACTTTCTGATGTCACATTGTAGGTCTGTTGCAGGTCTGTCCCCGCAAGTAGCTCCCTGTGGTGTTTCTGATGATCATACCGTTGCTTTTTTTTTTTTTAAATTAAAGCCTCCATCAGGTCACCAACACTGTGCCTTTTTACACAAACACAAAGTGACCCGCCAGTCACACAGTTAAGACAAGGTGTCAGATGAAGTTAGTGCTGCAATGAGCAAAAAGCCCTGGCTGGGACTGAGGTCCTATTGGGAGAACAGCTGTTCCCTTTTCACTTTAACTCCTCTCTGCATGAATGTGTGTGTACTTAAAGCAAATGCATTTGTGTGTGTGTCTGCACACTATTTATATCTGTTGCAGCGTCCTGTGGTTGACCTGAGCAGTGTCTCTTCCGCCTTCTTTGATAAAGATGCTGCAGCCTACAGTAGCTTGGCAGCATGTCGGCGTGTCATGATGTTATCCCTGATGCCTCAGCCAGCTGTTTACATTAGACTCATTAACCCCCTCGTCTCAGGGCAACTGCAATGTTAAATTCAGATATTCAGAATCAAGCTAAAGCTCCCCAGAACAATAAAACACATTAAAGGTTCATTAGCAGTAGTTTATTTCAGGTTAAGCCACTTAAAACAAGAGCACATCTTCATTGCTTTCAGTCTGAGAGGCAACCTAAAGATGAGCTTTAGTGAAGGTGGGAGAATACTGGAAGGGGGGGTTCAAGTTGTGTTTGCATTAAGTTTTTCGGTCACTGTGTGCGAAGCCTGTCACGTGCATGCACTTTGAATCAAACCCTATGAAAACGACACTACAACGACTACACTCGACTCCACTCTTGTCCTTGTGGGAAGTGTACTTACTATAAGAGACACATTGACAGATCCTCTTAAAGACACGTCATTGTTTGAAGTGTTGATGGAGTGAAAAGTTTGTCTGTTAAATGTATCAAAAAAGTATTACAGGCAAGCATTCAGTTTGAAAGCATTTGTATCCACAGTGATCTTTTCAAGAGCTTTACATTTAATTGTGAAGGTTACTTGTATATAAATGACTGAAGTTATACTCACTAAGGGCTGTGTGATCTGATCCTGTAAACCTCTGCCCCCCCCTCCCCCCCAGGCTCGGTCCTCCTGCAGCAGACTGATGGAAATGGGCACACTGCTTTGGATGTGACCTCTGAAACTACTCAGAGGGAGGAGCTTCTCCACAGCGCGCACGTCGGAGACTTAGCCCTGAGAAACTTCTCCACTGAAGTCTTGAACGTGCCCCTCCTGGAGGCTGGATCCTCTCTGCTGGCCAACCTCATCTTCACCTACCGGCGGGAGCAGGGTCTGCCTCACCATGGCGACAGTCTGAGCCTCACGCTGGTCAGGGCCCTGGAGACACACTCTCCCCAAAAGGTGACTTCGGGCTGGACAGACCGGCGGGTGGTGAGGCTGGTGGAGGACGCAGAGACCCTGTTGGAGCTCGGCAGAGGGGGCTACCTGGGGCAAGTGTCTCAGGCAGTGAGAGAGTGCAAAGAAGAGAATACACTATACCTAATGGAGATACTGGAGGATTTTAAGTATCAGGGGGAAATGCTTCTCGCTGATCTGTAAATCAGAAACAATGCACAACATATTGTAAAAGCTTGAAACATGAATGTGGTTGAAACATGTGGTTGACATGCTAACAAAAGGATATCTGTGTCTGTATCTGTTTTATTCAACAGTTTATAAGGATGAATAATATAAAGAGGCCCTAAAATGTGGATTTTTTCCCCCACAATAATTTGGCCTTCTCCTGTTTTTAAAGTAAATGGTTGGATGCGTTTCTTAATTTAGCAGTATGTTCATTTCTGCAATAGTTCATGGACCATACATTTATTACCTGTTTTGTATTTCTTAGATGCATGTTTTTTTATTGCTACATTTTTGTATAGATTGTTACTACCTCAAGTTTTTGATATGTATATTTGTTTTGCAGATTGATGTGCACTAATATTTATCACAAATAAAAGAATTGCTCAAACATCTTGATAGCATTAAATCAGCAGGGTGGTCAGGTTTTAGACAGCAATACATCGGGAGGAAATGGCTACTGCAGTGTAGGGCTAAAGGTGCTTTAACAAATGGAGTGGCTGCATGTGGGGGCTGTAATGAAAGAGTGAAACCAGTTCTGGCAGAAGTGGTCCCAGTCTGAGGCTCTGATGTGCACTCAGTGTCTCCGCCACACAGACAGCAGTGAGGAATGAGCCACTTCCTGAAGCTGAACATGAGTGAAGAAGGGGCTTAGGCTTGCTTGTTGGGGTGGGTCGAGTGGGCGGTGGAGCAACAGAGGTGAGGAGAGGGGATTTAAGATTTCAGACTGAGACAAATGGACGTATATTTCCCTTGCTGCTACCAGTGTAGGCTGAGAAACGAGCTTGTTGAGGCAGAAAACACATTTTGCAATAATCCAGACACTCTGAAGATGATACAAAATATTTAATCTCATGTTCTTTTTCAAAATAAGCAACATACATCAGATGCATTTCATTTCTCAAACAGGAAATATACATCATATGTTCTTTTCCCACTCCTGACCAACCTATGTCTCAGCTCCTTATTTCTGTTCTTGGTAAGAACTGGGCACATGAAGATGAACAGGCAGGCAACGTTGCAGGCGGAAAAAGACAGATTTTATAAAATGAGGCAGGCATACACCTACTTTACAACACCAGACCATCAACAGGCATACTGTATAAAATACAAACATAAATTAAATAGTTAGCTTTGTACAATATTTAAAAAATAAATAGTCTCATTTTAACTTGGTGCAAATGAAAGTGCTTTTTTTTCCTTTACAGCTGTCAGTCTGATACATTCTGTTATATATTTTCTCTACATCATATAATATAAAAACACTTTGGTTTGCTTGCAAACAGAGCTAAAATCCAATAATAAAAGGAAACGGTATTTGGATGCAATACCACACACTAGTCACTACAATTTGCTGAAAAATAACTACATACAGTAGTAGACACATACAGTACATATCAGGTATTCAAACAGTCCCACCAGGCCTTCTAAAAAGCCATCCTTCACGAGACAGAGTGTGTTTGTTGAGGAGGCTATAATCAGTCTGAGATGCTGCTCTTAGGGGACAGTCTGTTATTGTCTTTCAAGTGGATTCCTCAAAACAACAAAACAAAATCAATGGCCCTCTGGAGTGACAGATCCCAGCCTGTTGATATTTAAGTATGGAGATGGATGGGTACAAGGGGAGTGGGGCACAGCCGATGGCAAGCAGACAGGCAGGGCGAGAGGATGACAAAATGGCAGAGAGGAGCTCTAGTTGTGGTGTGGGGGGGGGGGTTAGAGCAATACAGACAGAGACACGAAGGGGAAGAGGGAACAAAAAGTTGAAGAAGTGGGGGGGAGATGTAGGCAGGGATCAGTAGGATGAGGGGAGACCTCCTCAAATGTAGCCTGAGCTGTGATCTTTCAACAGATGCTCAGCAAGAAGCCCAGGAGACCGTCCCTTCAGACAGGGTCGCAACCCCGCTCTCTGACGAATGAGGGAACCGCAGAGAGAGCAAACGGAGAGAAGCATGATGGGAAGAGGGATCTAGAATAGAATAAAACACACACACACATCCCGGACACCTCAGCCTAAGTCCCCTCAGAGCCTCGTCCTGTCACACAGAGACTTGCTGCTCATCTAGCTGACGGCCCTCTACACCAGCAAACTCCACACCAAATAACAGCTGGCACTTCCGCTGCACCACACACACACACACAGTTCTACATGCTGACACACATCGACTGAATCTAAGCATCAGTCTACAGCTGGAGGGGAGATACAATTGAAACACACACCGGCGCAGAGAAAAGCAATGTGTCTTTGATTGCATAAACGTGTGTACGCAAACACTCTTACATGCACAGTTCACATACACAAGGCTGTGTCTCTGGGAAGACGGATCAAAGTTGAGCTGTGGGCACAGGAGGTGGGGCAGATGGAGAGGGCGGCCAGCCTGGGGCACAGCATCACAGAGAGCATGTTTGTGTGAGTGTGTGTGTGTGTGTGTGTGTGCCTAAGAGGGAGAGAATGTGCCTGCTCAAATGGGATCTTATGCTTTCATCTGTGAGCAAGTAGGTACAGTCTGTGTACGCGGAATCTCTTAAAGAAGCAGTGTATTCATGTTGTTGTTGTTTTTTTTAAGATGTCTGCATGCACATATGCGTGTGTGTGTGAGGGCTTTCTTGTGTGGCCGCTGAGGAAAACACACAGGGAGATGAGAGGAAAGGAGAGCAGCCTTTCAAACCAGATTAGGGCTGTGGCTGCCTAAAGGCCTGGCGACACTCTGTAGTGACTGGGTGACATCTATATTAACACCACGACATCAGAAGGCCCAGTCAGTGGGCCCGCTGATGGACTGGCAGGGGATTTTGACGTTTTTAAAGGGTTACACAAGGTTAGTCTATATTATCTGGATAGGTGGCAGGGATAAAGGTTTGGGATGACTCACCAACTGTGTAATACAGTACTTAACAGTGTTTCCTTTGGGTATTATCTAATGATGATTATGTAATCACAATCTATTTTAGGAAGAACAGACTCACTGTACTTTAACTAATACCATTGTGGTTCCTGTTTTTGTGTGGGATTAATATCTTTAAAAGAGCAAATTTGGCCTTTGTTTTAAAGCACGGACAGATAGCATCACAAGCCTTCAGCCTGTTGGTCCAGGTTTGTGTTTGTGTAAAGGGACATATCTGGAGGCTACTACAATAATTGCTAATCAACTTGGCCGGCTGAGTTAAGTGGAAACAATCCAAATTACTGCCAGTGAACATAATATCATTACAGCATCCAGGAGAGAGGCAAACCAAAGATACTTCAGTACAAAAACAATTAAAAAATATTACCAAAATCATTTAGTAAATAGAATATGAGCTAAAAACGAAACGTAAAAGTATATCGCAGAAAGTTAGTATAAGGCTTGTATAAACATGGATGCAGTAAAAATGTATTTTTGCGACGATATGTATAAATGCTTAAACTCGTTGTGTGACACTTGTCACTTGTGGCAAGCAGATGGACAGAGTCCTCCGAGCTGTCAAGAGTGATGGAGAGAAGAAAAAGGGATTGGATCCCACGGCTGAGAAAAAGGTCAATCCATCCATCTTTCCAACTCGCATTTAAAATCAATCAAAATCATAAAAGTGATAAGATTTCTTTTTACTTGTCTTTTTTTCTACAAATATTACACTTCAGGAAACTGTACTGTATTGTAGTATACTGTACTGAACGCCATGAGGATTTAGAGACAGAAAAAAAGGTATAAGAGAAAAACATAGAAAAGGGAAAAAAGGAAAGATAGCTGAGCCGATGTGGTCCAGGCTTCCTCTGCTCCTCAGTGTCCAGTTATAGACCATGAGAAGAAAGTGGAGAAGAGAAGAGAAGCGTCGGTGGGTGGACAGAGTCATTTTAGTCATCTACCCGGGGTTATTTTTCTTCTTTTTATTTGGACTGGGATTGGGATCCAGTTTCAGCTCTCTGTACTGCACCTGTTAAAACACACAGAAACACACACACACCACCCGGTCAGGTGGAAAGAGCAAAGGATGCTTGAATAGCACAGAAACCCTCCAGAGGCTCTCTGAGTCCAGCTGTGTGGAACAGTGGCCTCAGGGAAGGGATTACACAATGATTACAACACACACACACACACACACACACACACACACACACACACACACACACACACACACACACACACACTTAGACACAGACACAATCCCATGTACACTGTTCAAAGCTCCAAATACACAGACGCACACAAATACAAACGTACTTCCGCAGATGTGGGACAGTGGCCTAAGGGAAGGGATCACACAAACAAACAGAGAACAGGGCAAGGCCTCATGGGAAAGCTTGGAGAGACAACACAGTCATCTCAGTATGGCAGGATGGTTCTGAGAGGAAGTGCAGAGAGATGGGAGGAAGACAGAAGATGGTAAAAACAAACTCTAACAAGTCTGTGTTGGCTGCTAGTTGTGGTGACTACAGTATCACCTTGCAATCATGTGTGTCACATGTAGCTTGATAGTTTATTGATACCTTATTCTGCATGGCTAAACAGAAACACCATTTTAAACTCTCAGTTCATGTGCAATTTAATTAAGAGACGCCACCTGGCTGTAACTTGATTTTTAACAGACATATGAGACTGATATCAATAAAGCAAAACATTAAAAACATTTAATAACTACTTTTGCATTCACAAAAAGGATATTTTAGTGGCAAATTGTAATCCTTTAAAATGTGTTCAGTATCATCACTGACTGTCACCCATTTCTTCCAAAGGGGTCTGATTCCCACTTCATGTGATGCATTGCAGAGATGGTGAGCTGCTGCTAAGTGATGGACACTCTGACGCAACAGCATCACAGGGGCTGAGCGTCAACAACCAGAGACTGTCACTCTGGCAGTCTCTCACTTTCAGATGTCTGTGCATGCACACACAAATACAGTCGCTAGCCTAGACAAATTCAAGACACTGACAAGCACTAGCCACTGAATCAGAATACTAATAGAAAGAAAAAACAAGACTTAACAGTCACAGCACCAAAGAGCCAGTGTCGTCTGTGGGATCCTTCCTAGGCTGATGTACTGTAGGCTACTCTGCCTGTCTGACTGACTGACACCCTCTCTGATTCTCCAGGCAGTCAACAAACTGACGTCAGTATGGTTTCTCTGTTCTGTCTCGTGGTGGGTCTGTCTGCTGTGGACGGGAACAGCAGCGTGTCTCAGCACTGGCTGGGAACGAGCCTTTATCATCCATCTTCTACTGGTTCCCACTGTCGCTTCAATGACGCCTCCCAGTATCCTCTGCCTGATTCAGTGTTTACAAATCTGAGATGCAAAGAGGCTGTGCTCACCAGTGAAGACACATGCAGACACATATGAATACCAGCAAGGAGAATGTACCAACATACACACATACGCACTTTCCACATCATGCAGACACACAAAACCCTGCCACTCCGGTATCATTAAAATCTCATGGACATCCACTGACTGCACACACACACACACATACAGTACAATGGGGTTGTTCAGTTCCTCAGCGGTGGTCACCGATGTCTCGTTACGGTGCTTACAGAGCGGTTAGGCCAGCATGTGTTGCTCTGTACGCCTCACTAGGCAGCCAGACTGCACTGATACAGATCTGAATACTCCTGACTGTCCACAAGGCAAACTAACATCCTTCTAAACAGCTGTACAAATACAAACCGGTTAGCTGGATACAGTGAGAGAGAAGAGAGTCTGACAAGATATGAGAAAACATTCCAGGTGGAGAAAACAAGGCAGGAGAGGAATGATGGGAAGCGAGATAAAGACGGGACAAAAATAGATAGGAGGATGAAGGGAGGAAAGGGCAGAGGGCGGGGACAAACCAACAAAAGAGACAGGAGGAAAAACAAAGGGTGAAGTAGAGACTGGGTGAGAGAAAGGGAGATCTGCGGACACTCGGGTGATGACAGATACTGTTCTCATGTGGGTGTGGATCCTTTTATAGCCCTGCCAACTAAAGCAGACAACGGAGCAAAAACCCAGGGGACAGAGAGGGGTTTATATGGCCCCATCTGTGTGTGTATTTGTGTGTGTTTTTGGGTATGTGTGCGGGTGCAGTGGTAGTTGGTTAGGGGACCATGACAGTCCTGGCAGAGTGCCCACTTTGACTGGGATTAATGACGGTTGTGCCTCAATGGATGAACAAGTAAAAAACGGTTGAATGATTTCAATCACACGACCGAACATCTGCATGTAGCGCCATACAACAATGTCCCTTAATATCAAATAATTGCTAGCATATTCACAAAACAATTCCCCTTATTGAAAATGTTTTCCATATGCAACTCATTCTCACTCGTCGTTTACTTTAAACTTTAAGCTAGCTTCTGTGGATCCAAAAGTAGGACAGGTTTTGTGCGGGATCACTGGCTGTTGGTTGTCCCATTACGCGGCCAAACGCCTACAGCAGCAAAAAGGAACACGGCAATTTAATTCTGTGTGTTGACATTCCTGTCCAAACAAAACTATTTGTGAGTGCAGAAAAACAAAGAAAAGTTTGCATGTCAGTAAAAAAGTAGGGTTTTGTTTCTCATGAAGTGTAGCGAAGGGGACCGACACAAACAAAGGGTGCAAGAAAAAAACAATATCTCAATCAAACAGGAGTTTTCTCTGTGAAGAGCTGCCAGCCGAGAGAAATGGGGCTCATGCGTCACAGGTTCGATTCCACCTCACAGGTGACAGGCCTGCCTGATGCTATACCCTTGGCTCCCCCGCTCACCTCACCTAATAACTCACACAAGCACACAGCAGCACACACAGGCACCAAACCCATGCTGACAACAAGAGCTAGTTAAAGTCAAAAAGAGAAGAAAAGGCAGAGGAGGCGAGGAGAAAGTGGGACGTTAGCAAAATAAAAGAAACTGGAATTGGGTGAAAGTAAAAATGGTGGTAATGCGGCGAGCACATAAGCAATTTGGTAGCGCGAGTGGGGAGCTTAAAGGGAACATCAACAGGAGAGGCAGTGGGTAAAGACCCAGCGCTGCTCAAAGGGCTGCTCCACCCTCGCTCTTCTCCGCTCCTCTCCCAAATGTTGACAGTACAAGTGCAAAACAGGCTTTGAAGTGTGCTCTGCTGAAGGGGCGCCGTGTACCGTGCTTCGTTTAACGGTGTTACCCACAAAGCATCCCGGGACCTGCTCCTCTCTCCCTGTCTCTCATTCTTTCTCACATTGAACCTTTGACTGTGTTTTGATGATGCCAGTGTGGGCAGACAGACACGGCGAAACACAGGTGGGTGGGTGACAGTGAGAGGGAGAAAAAAGCAAATAGGCGAGTAAATAAATAAAGTCAAAAAAAGCAAAGGAGCAGTATTTTTAATGATACAATGTTATTCTGTTTTGTATCCCTTTCCACAGAGCACAAACCTCAGTGGGTTTCATCTCATGTGACGCCTAATGGAGCATAAGGGTTATTAAATGTTGCCGGGGAAACACTATTGTGTAGAGTTCACACATCTGCAGATCGGAGGATTCAGCAAAGTCTTTTGCTGGGAAAGAAAAGGCATGTGAAGGAGACATAAATCAATGAGCAAAAGTTTGCCTATTAGCTGCTTTGGCACGACACATACTGTACTGAAAAGTGACAAGACTCTTTCAGTGAAATGCTTAAATGTATCACAAAAGTAGGGAAGGACAAAGCGGTGGAGAGAGAGACCACTGCTAGATGTAAGTGATGACATCTGGCAACGTTTCAACCTTTAACTGTCATGCCTTTAGCCCCTGTGTGTCCAGTGAGGTTTCTTCCCCAACATAAATGTTGTCTAAAAATATTAACCCGACTCCCCACTGCTCATTAGGCGCTAAATTGGAATTCATGCTTATTTTTGTACTGGGGGTTTGATCCAGCTCCTTTACACCGATCATAAAGGGCCACTTGGCATGCTAATTGCCTTGGCCCTACTTACGCACTCCCTCGCTCACATGGCTAATGGTGTCGTAAAACATACTAGTGTACTGACACCTTCCAAACGCCAGGTAGGGAATACTTAGCACTATAAAGGTGCTCAGTTTGGCCTCGTTTAAAAGGACATGAAGGATTCCCTGATAATGACCATAACGATAGCTTACGCTGGTAAAAAAAATCCAACCCACATACAAGGAACTGCTTCCCAGAGAGGGACAGTGACTCCTTCACACACACATGCATTACATACCATGCCAGCCTTTTACATTGCTACTCACAGGGAGACATAATCATTTAAGTTAACTGTTCAGGTGGTAAAAAAGGTAACTCTGCCTGTTGCTGCCTCCATGGAACCCTGGAGATTTCGTTTTTAAAGGGTGTTTGACAGTGCTGTTAGGGGCCCAGTGTCGTTGATTTAAACAGCTTGTTTGCAAGACCAAAGTTCCTTCCGTTAATGGTACAACCAAAGTTTATTTTATGAACCCTGTTTGATTAAAAAGATGAGAAAACTGTGAGAGGTCAAAGACTGTTCCACAGTTACTGGCGTGCCGTACAGCGACATACATTATGACTGTGGCCCAGTGTGGATGCCCTTTGTATATAAAGTCATTATAACCTCATCAGTTCTTGCTGCACTGAAGCACCTCTAAATGATGCGGAACACCGCGCTGAAACAAACACATGCACCAATGCTGAGAGAGCATGTGTGTGTGTGTTTATGTGTGTGTGTTAGGTCACACAAGGGCCCTGAAATAGCACTTCATTAGTCATCCAGGGTATCAGGCATAGTGGGTCCCTGCACCAATGCCAGTGGGTGCCATGGCCACGTGCCTGTGAGGGTACGCTCCATTTGGACCCCAGCACCTCTCTGCATCATGCAAGAGCCTAAAGGGCTTGATCCCCATGGACAGCTTTGACCCAGTAAGGTGGGAGCAGGCAATGAGGTGAAGCCAGCACCGCGGGCAGCTGTGGGACGCACCGCAGAGCAGAACGTTCTGGTCTGTTTTTAGCCAACGACCGCTGAGCGGGGTGTCTTCACAGGAAATTAACCTTTGGATTCAGTGAGAAAGTGATCAGCGTCGGTCTCGGTTCTTTATTAGCTGACAGAGCAGCAGATCTAAACTTCACTGGCCTAATCTTATTGATACAAACAAGACTTCCCTACACTAAATAAACAAGCAAGTTGATAAATCAACTCCATTTTTAGTTATATCCTGAATCATCTCCCTTTTTCTGTACTTCCGTCCTTATCTTTCCTCCCCTGAAATCTATTCTTTCCCCTTTCCCCTGGTCTTTCACCCTCATTACTCGGTAAGCCTCCAAACTGTCAAAGAAACCTGGCAACAATTACCTTTCCGACAGCTGCAGCAATAACTGTTACAGTAGCACTTACAGTATTACTTATACAGTAGGCACAACTCCAGCAGTACGGGCACCAGACCAGAGCAGTATGCCGGCCCCCACCTTCCCCAGCCAGCAGGCCCTCATTAGGGGCCTTGTAAAGGCCTTATACCTGCCGGGCCTGGGCCCCTTCACCGCTCTGCTCCTCCAGGCTCCAGGTGTGTAAGGTGGCTGCACTTCACCAGAGGGGACAGCTTGGGCTCATTTAAGCCGATGGCTACCTGCCTAGTGCCTACTGTTGTAGCAGGCCCCAGTAAACTCTGAAACTGTAAAACTGCACGGGGGCCGAAAGGGGGAGAAGATGGGGGGTTGGCGGGGGTGTGTAGGGGAGCAAGGATTATGACCCTGTAAAGATGAAAGAGGTTTCGGCAACAAGCGATCAAAGAGGAAGTGTGTCAGCGCTGATGTGGCAGGGGATTGGTCGTATCAGAGGCCCTGGTTTGTTCAGCCTGTGTGTGTGTGTGTGTGTGTGTGTGTGTGTGTGTGTGTGTGTGTGTGTGTGTGTGTGTGTGTGTGTGTCTCACAAGTGTGTTGCAACTTGTGTTTGCACATACATTCACATGTGCAGCGTGTATTGAACTCAGCACAGCAGGGCTTAACGGCCACAGCGGACACCATCGGTGCTGGATAACACAACGACTTTCACAAGCTGCCGCTTAATTGCAGTTTAAACTGCACTCCATCCTGAACAGCACAGCACGTTACAGACACACACACACACACACACACACACACACACACACACACACACACACACACACACACACACACACACACACACACACACACACCTATATTTTACCTAACGAAGCATCTGTAGTCTTCAGCCACAAAGTTAATCTGATCTCACGGTTAATGTAGAAGCAAAACCGCATGGGGCTGGTTAACTGTTGGTTTACACTCTGTTCCAATTACTAGCATAGCTGGGAAACAACAGCTAACTGTTATTGTGTGAGAGTGTGTGTATGAAGTCAATCAACCTAGTTATATGCTGGCCACTAAACTCACTTAACCTCGTTATCTTATTACACGGCTCCAGTTATGTATGTGGAAATTGAATTATACTAGGAAGCTATTACTAGGAAAACACAGGAACGACTTTGAAACAATAAGATCAGATGTCTGCGTGGACAGTCAGTTCACCCTGCTGAAACAGTCCAACAGTGAGGTGCCAATAGCTGAGAGGAGGAGAAAAGAGACAGAGACCAGGAGATAATAAAAGGAGCCCTCACCCTTGCCCGTGGACAGAACTGACAGATGTGTGGTCAGAAAGATATGAAAGATGAAACAGAAATGAAAAAGGAAAGTTCACCTACCACTTGTACATCTGAGGGCACTCTGGACAGAAAGTCTAGCAGCTCGTTGTTATCAATGGTGTAAGGGTCTCGCAGCTTCTTGGTGAATTTATTCACCCCTGAAGAGAGAGAAAAACGATCAGGTCATGAAGGGAAGAGTCTGGAAAGATAGATAGACAGCACCTACTGTATGTTGTACAAGTCTTTAAAGTCTCTATGGTTGTTGTGCTCGCTGAAGATATGTATCAAACTCACTGATTGTGCTTTTCTCCCAAATACAATGCATGAAAAGGAGCATGGGACATTCAGATGGCATTGCTCCGCCACAGATTTAATAAAGTACTGTATTCAAACTACACATTTAAAATGTTACAGCTAATATTTCTGCTACATGCAATCAAAATAAAACATTTTTACATTAGCTCACCCCAAGCTAGCACAATGTATCGCAGAGGAATGTAGTAGATGAGGATGGTGGCGGCTCCGAAAGCCACAATGGCCAGCCAGCTTAAGAAAGGCACAGTCCAGTTGAATGTGCTGAAAAGAGAGATGGAAAGGGAGTTTATTAGGAGATATGGCAAAGCTTCGTGCAGCAAAACACTCTGAGAAAGTCTTACAGGTCAGCATTACACTGTGAAAATGGTCTACAGTATGTGTTAATAGAATTCACACTATATAATCAGTCAAATGCGCTAAACTTTGCAGATACACAGGTCACAAGTGTGTCAGCTTGATTTAAAATGTGTTTACCTTTGCCCAAAAAGGAACCTGTAGCCTATCTTTTTTTATCACATTTTTTAATCAAGACTAAATTCCCTGCCTTCCCTGTGCTCTGTATGGATCTATTCAGAAGTGAGGATCTCTGTGTACGCAGAAGCCTACAGTGTATAAATGGTTTTGTGTGTGTGTGCATGTGCAGTGATGTGTTTAATCTAGTATGTACATGATTCAGTTAAGAGGTCATACAGGGTTAAGTGAGATGTGATGGGCATAAAGACAGGCAGCCTGTGTTTGTCTCTCGGGGCTGGGTGTCACGCTGGCAGCCTTTCCTGAGAGCAACGCAGTTATACTCAGTTAGGCTGGCAACAGGAAGCGGGGCAACCTGGCATTCCAGAAAAAACACTGGGACAAGCAGAGCGGAGCAAAGCGGGCCCGATGCCGAGGAGCGGGCTTACGACTCACTTCTTTATCCTCTCGCCATAGGAGGCCACTTCATCCAGTGCATTCTGCACACTGATGCACACGTCCTGAATGGCATAAAGCTTGTTCATGAAGCCCTTTCTCTCCGAGTCCTGCAAGAGGACAGATAGAGATGTAAGCGAGGGAGAAAGAAAGCGTGGTTTGAGGGAGAGAGAGAGAGATGGAGACAGTGAAGAGAGGGAAGGAGAGAGAGAAAAGAGAGAGACAAGATAGAGGCTGGGCACAGGCATCTTTGTGAAAACAATACATTTTAAATAGCGTCAAAGATTTGGGGTGGGGAGCCAAATCACCGGATATCCTGCATGAACTGACGGAGTGCTTTCATTCCAGGCAGTAATAAAGATATAAAGTCGGCAGAACAAATCAAAATGCTCATACTGGAACATTTGAATATGTGAATAGAGAGACAGAATTAACTGAAAGCCGAATAGATACATCAATCTTTGGGTGCTATTTCTTTTTCTCTCTCTCTCTGCTGCTGCCAAGACAGCCATGAAGACCGGGCAGAGCCCTCTTTTGTTCGGCTGGCTGGCACACTGTGATGATGTCACCAGCCGTGACATCATTAACATCCTTATTAAACGTCGTCACCCACCATGAAGAGCTTTTCCTTTTCAACTTTTGATGGTTGAGAACTTGAGAATACTGTGAGGAGCGAAAGAAAGAAACCACAAACTAAGCAGGCAATCTGAAATCTACAATCCCCCCTCTTACTGAAACAAAGTGAAGAATTGAAGAAGTCATGCAACAGTCAACGAGCTGCCTGCTGACTGACTGACAGGCAGGGACAGGATGGATCTGGACAGAATGAGGTGACAGAGAGGGATGGAGAGCCGTTGGCTGAGTGAGGACATCAACACGCAGACCGGTTGTGGCTGGATGTGAGTGGTGGGCATGCTTAGGAGACAGGACGGGGGGGTAAAGCAAGAAGAGGAAGACTATCTGCTTTCAGGAAAAAAGAGTTAGGGTGAGGACAATAAAGCCATTAGAGACATCACCTATAAGATAATCATGTTTCAGTGATTATAAGTTATGTTTTTTAGGGGAGGGTTAGGGGTTTCTACCTTACAGTATGTATTCACCCTAGTGTTGTATTTGTTCATTAAATGAGATTCAGTTAAATCTGTAATAAAAAAAAGGATATTATATAGCTGTTGGAAGAACTTACGGTAATTAACCTAAAACGGAAAAGTTTAAAAAGGAACCAAAAGAGTATGGCACAAGCCAAAATGGCCACCAAACGTTTCTCTATGTCAGAGAAACAGCACGTATAGCAATGGCTGTGTTATTGGTGAAGATGGATGGGCCTTGTTAGATTAGAGAAGTAAAACTCAGAATAATCCTCACCATTATATCCAAAGATGACAGGGAAGCAGGCGAAGACTCAAAACCAAACCTCCAGGACCCAAGAGCCCTTTACCACATTTCGCTCCTTGAGGCAAACCTCACCACAATCGTCCCTTTGAGACCCAAAACTGCGACCCTCCTCCCTCTGCCTCATAACCCACCTCTTCTTTTTACTCTCCATCCAGGATCAGATAATTTGAAAAATGAACCATGGAGCAGCCAGGGAGACCACATGGCCTCCTCGGTAAAAACCACACAAGACAAATAGATATAATTAGACGGCGTCCCTGGGTTATTTTTCTTCGCAAATATTTTACAAGACTCCCTTTCTTTCTTCCTCTGTTCCTCCTCCTCTTCTCAGTCTTTTTCTTTAGAGTCCATCTGTTTTTCATTGCTCTGTCAAACAAATCTCAAAACGCAGGGTCTATTGTGTTGGCCTGGGTTAGGCCGAGCCGAGCCGGGCTGGGCCGGGTCAGGCCGATTTATTGTCGGGAGTGTTTGAGCGCCAGGGGAGTGGTGTGAGAGAGCGGGCGGGGGTGGAGAGGATAGATCAGAGGTCGTTGGAGAATAAACCATTGCCACATGCCCCTCGGACTGCGGCCTGACTCGTATTTCCTGTCTTCAAACACGGCTCAGGGAGGCGGGAGGTAGCAATAACACAGAGGGCCACGGAGAACCTTGTTTTCCCAGCTTCCCCGCACACTGCGCACATATGGAGCCAGGCAACCTGTTCTTATAATGGAACCTAATATGCACACAAACACACACGCACACACACACACACACCCTACAGCTATTAGATAAGGTTGATCTGCACACCTGGTCTTGCTGCGTTACTTTACAAACAATGTTATATCCTGACAGATTATACGATGAGGGCTCTTGACTTCAGAAAGCAGTTTCTTTCTCTACTGAGCAAGTTTGTTTTATACTGCAATGGGATCACTTATAAAGAGGGAATTGATACAGGAAGATGAGGACGGAGACATGGCATTCAAACATGACAGTCAAGGTTAAAGGAAGCGTTCTGTTGACTTGTTTTTTAAACAAAAATATTTGGAAAGTAGGGAGCTTTATAAGATACTTGCATATGTCCTCAAGAGTGGATCAGTCACTGGTATCTTACGTTAAATAAAGGACTCGGTTTTGTCATTACTTACGTGGTTTTATGGGCAATGTGTGTTGATGCGTGTCGACCACAAGCTCAGTTTTTTCAGTCCTGACTAGCTTCTAGTTTCACTCAGGAGGAAGAGTATGGCCTGTGCAAGAGATTTAGGGCCGGTGTTCCCATGCGTCTCTTCCTGTGTCAGTCAGTAATACTAAGTAGGTTTGTTTGGAGACCTGAAGCTAATAAAATTAAATCCGCAGGGCCTCTCGCTTTTACTTGGCTACAGTTGCAAGTCATGTTAGGGCTCACAGTGTGCTACAAATCCCAGCACCTCTGACAACAGTATTCTGAAGGATGATGCTGCATGGCTTTAGCCTTTCAGACAGATAGTGTAATAAGCCTGCCTAATGAGTTTAGCTTCATGCATTTTAATAGACTGCAACTGTAGGTTAATCCGCAATGTGTTACGCTGACATGTTACAGTAACTCGCAGTTGTTTGTGTAATACAAATTGTCATTGCAGTCAGCTGACAGAGCATTCATTCTTGACGATTTCATCTACTTTAAGACAGGACTGAATATATGTAGATAGAATGTCTACTTTTCCGTCAGCTACACATATGCCTGAATAATGGATAGCACAGTACAGTTTATATACAACTATGTGCAGTGCTATTGACTGCACCTAAGAAATGAAGTTGTATCATTTGAGATTATTCATAAAAGATCTATGGTTGAATTCTGCCACCACTACTTTTGCCACAACTTTCATAAAAAAACAATTGCTTAAATCAAATTAGGCTAAATAATATATATAAACTTGCATATAAAGTAACATTGAATGAACATAAAATGTACGCATGAATATCAAGTATGATTTAGCATCGCTGTGTGTGGGTTTACAGAGTACAGTATATAAGAGAGAATATAAAAGGCTTTCATACATTTTTCTAAATGCCCATGACCGTAAGTATTCACTCCTTTAAGATATCAGTTATTTGTGACCTCAGAATGCATACTCCCAAGTATCTAACATGAATTCAAAGGCGAACTGAAGCCTTTACACACATTCCTGTCATAATTATGCATTCTCTTTGTCTTTTCTTGTAAGATGGTATAGATCTACTTCTGAAAAGCATTCGTTGTATAATGTACTGTATAGCAAAGGGTCAGGCTCAGTCAGAATGTGAAGCAGTGAGTTCAGAATAAAGTCAGAACAACTGCATTACAACATGTATTAAAAATAGCAATGAAACAATCTCTTTGTCCTGTAAATGAAATGTTTCTGTGTGCAGAAGACATCTTTGACATCAATTAGCTCTCATCAGCAGAGATATTTTCTGGTAACAGAAATATTTAGTGAGTCGTTGTCTTTTTGTTGGCAGAGAGTTCTTTTAATTGCACATATGCCGGCAAAGGCATACAAATGTATCTTTTGTGGTTATGTCCAAAGTTTGCATCATTGTTTTGGTTGTTTGATATGATATCTCTGCCAAGCACCCATCAGTTTAGCATTGAGCTGCCCTGTGTAGAAGTGTGTGGAACAGGATGCATCGTGGGATTGCTCCCATTAGAGAAGACAGAGGCTCATTAAAGTGATGCAAGCTGTTTGCATGCGTTAAGGAGAAACAACCCTCGGTGACACCAGAAAGAGCACAGGGACACACACTCTCTCACACACATACACATAGACACAGCCAAGTCAGGCCAACCACAATGCACTTGCTGGTAAATTGTGGTAAACAAATGTGGTAAACTCCTTGAAACACTTGATTAAATATTTAACAAAAGGAAAGATGAACAGTGCCTCTGTGTACTCGACTGCTCCAATTTCTCTTTCAGCGAGATAGCATCACGCCAGAGTGCATCTATATGAAAAGTGCACAGTGAGCAGATGTAAACTTTGCAAAGACAGTTTGTACTTCACTGACCCAAGGCCTAGAGCTAAACAAGAGAGAGGTCACTGAGGACTTAGCCTATTACCATGGACTCAAATATCTGTCCTATATCTACTAGGTGGGAATAGAGAGCCATTTGAGAATGCTTTAACCTCCGATCACACTGTTCTCCCTGCTGGGTTACGCCATAAAAATGATAAACCTAACCGTTATAATGCAGCACCATACATCCCATCACACCACGAAATGAGTTTGAACCACAAGTGGCTGCTGCTAACGGCTGCTGTGCTAAAATTGCACCTGTTTTTCTTTGTTTTTCTTTTTGCCTCTCACTCTGGCAGCACAGTAAAAATTGAAATGTCATATAAAACGTGACAGGATGCTAATATGTGGCTCCCAGAGGGCATCTGAAAGCGTTCTTGTTGGTTTTGTAACTGCAGAGCGGAGGCGGCATCCCTCCCATTTCCACCCCAGGAAAAAGGGACGAAAAAACACTGAAAAGTTGAGCAAGTTGAGGAATGCTTTAGGGGAGACACAAATTCAATTTACAAAGCCTGTGCAAGAATTAGAAATGACAGAATAATAAATAGAACACACAATTAGCATCTACTGTGTACTTAAAACATGATCTGTTGCAAGCTCTCTTTGAAAAAAATCAAATATGGATGAAAGAAGTGGATTTGTTCCCATAAACATGATATTTGGCTGGGTGGAATTGTTGAGTTACTGAAATTAAATGAATATTAAAATGATTGAGTGACTGATAAAAATGCAACACCTCTAGCATCCTCTAGTGACATTCAGTTCAGGCTTACTTTTTTGGCTGTATATGTAACAAATTAGCAGATGGCCTGTTTCTAAAATGAGGCAAGCAAGAGTATGTATAGAAGGCACATCGCATTGTAGTTTAACTATGATTACAAAATAAATCTGATTGGTAAACTAATTAGCAGAATGACACTAATTAGTTTTGCGTATTTTAATCTTAAAGTTTCTTAGGATGGACATGTTTGAGTCAAATGTAGCATGGAGGGCTTCTATCGTGTTGACCACTCAAATAGTCTAGCTCCTAAACACAGAGACAAGTATGTACAGTGAGCCAAATTAAGCTGTACAAACTAAATAATATATTTCATCTGTGTCTATTCCAAGAATTACCAACTCCACTGGGGAGCGATGAGTCACAGATAGTTCGCATTGGGAATTCAGAAAGGCTACAAAGGGGGTAACACAAACTTGGAATCCTAGAAGGACATCTCCCCTCTGTCAGGAAATGACAACAAGACGAGACAAAAGGCCCCGCGACCGGCCTCAGATGCCACCCTGCAGCCTGGCCCCTTGCCAGCACCACATGAAAGAGGCAGATGTTCCCCCTTTTTTTTAAAGCTGCGGTTTTAATAAATAATGTATTTCATAGCACAACTAATCCATGAGCGAATGTGGGGAATACATCTCTATTTCCCTCCCTCTCTTTTTATCATAAACACATAAATATGTGTTTAACTAGGGTGTTGAGATGTGCAGCACGTCCTCCTGGTCCTCATCAAGCGGCTCGCACACAAAAGGCCACGTTAAGATGTAACTCCCATAGGCCCACTGTGACTGTGAGGAGAGTGTGTATGTCTGTGTATCGGGTGAACACACCGTTTTCTTTGAGGATATGTCTGGCTGACGGTTGCTCCCACAAAGCCAAAGTCAAACCCCAGTTTAGACTGTCAGATGAAGGTGGACCAGTCAGACATAATGCTCTCTAGTACTAATTAGTCTCTTTGCCCAGCCTAGTCCCACAGCGAAGATAAATATACACATATGTAAAATAGAGGGATAGAAGGACAGAGAGAAATTAGGAATAAAAGGACGAGGTGGCGGTGTCTAACTTTCAGTTTGACCTCTGCTTCCTGTCCAAACGAGAAATGTTTCTGGTGTTGGGGGTGTGCGTTTGTATGTGTGTCTCTGATGAGTCTGGGTGGCAGGAGGTTGTTTGCCACTGATCATCTTTACCCATCTCCCCCTGGGGCCCCTCATCACCTCCACCACACCAGCCACTCCATCAGACTCAAGGTCGGGCACACACACAAACACACACACACACACAGAAATGACTACCGCCCCACAACTTCTGCACTTTCCCTTCCTCGCCTCCCGCTGATCGCCACCCGACCCCCGCCCAACCTGCACCCCCAGCCTGCCCAGCTCTCCCTCACTGTGCCTCACCTCTGCTCCCTTGCTCCTGCGCTCTCCTTCCCCTGTCCTTCCCAGGATCATGCCTGGCAGTGTGTGATGAATGGGACACCATTACTCTTGTCCTCTGTTGGCCTGGTTTAGCTGCTCCAGCCCATCTCCCCCATCTGTCTGTCTGTCTGTCTGTCTCAGTCCCTCTGTCTTGGATGGCTTCAAACATACTGCAAAATCCAAGTACTGGATTCATTTGGTATAATCATACTTAACGAGGAAGGTACAATTGTGTGTTTACAACATTACTTTGGAAAATGTACAGACATTTGGTAATTACGTTAGAAAAGGAAAAACTACTTTTTGTAATGCTTTTTTGATGTTGTAAGGTGGATCATATATTGAGTTTATCCTATATTTAACTTTAAATGTTTATTTATTTATTATTAAAAACAAGTTTTAGGTAAAATCACTTCATACTATTGTTTAGGGAAATGTATATTTGTTTCATCACCTAGGTTTTGCCTAACTTTAATTACTCATGTTCAGCGAGACACAGGCAATAGGAACAGCTGTAACATCCACTGTTTTAAACTTTGTCTCAGGAAGAGAAAAAAACGACAGAGCGAGAGTGCATCGCTGTGAAGTGAAGGGATCACGTCTTCAAAAAAGTAAATAAAATATGCATTCTCTCTGTGCTCATTACAGATTTATGACTCTTGTTAAAAGAAAAGGTGGCGGCTGCCTTCTTACATGTCTGACTTTCGAATTCATACGACACTTCTGTCAAGTATTGTGCTCCACATTCTGTCCAATGAGAGACAGGGAGGGGAGAGTGTGTGCCATCTCCAACATCCTATTTGGTGAGAGTCTCTAGGAGAGTTACTCTGGGTGGATGAGAGAGCACACAAGAACACCTCACCTAGAGTGCAACGAGTACTCTCCGTACTCCTTAGATGCATAGTCCATCAGTCAAATGGTTCAATTGGTTCAGCCGCTTGTGTGTGTGATTCAGAACAATAACATTTGCGGGAGAAGACGTTGCTACATTAGGCATACTGAGCATTGGGATTTGCTTCACCAATATGAAATAGTTTTGCTGTTTCTGTAGCAACTTTTAAGAAAAAGCGCTCACAGGCGCATTCAATTCACACCACCACCCACATGCACACACATACACACACTCGGGGCTCTGAAACTCATTAGAACATTTGTTTGTTTGCTGCTTATTATCAGTGACTTAGAGGTCATAAGGTATGAAAACAATCGTTATTTGTGAGAGGAATGTAATTAGTGCTTTTCAAAACAATGAATCTAGTCTATTTTTTGGGGGGAGGGGTGAATGAAAAATATCCACGACAACCCTGTGAGCGTATCTTATTCCCTTATGGCCCCTCTCACTGCACACATTTTTTTTTTAACTTGAGTCACTCCCAATGTCAACCTTTAGTACGCAACAGCCAAAAGTCCCAAAGCTAAACATACTTAACACCCGGCTGCACCTCAGTTCAGCTGTCACCTCTCAGTGTAACAGGTCTACAGTGCTACAGGGAAGTCACACAAGAAGACGGGAGCAGCCTACCATGCTGGAGCCCCATTAGTTCCCCCATCACCTTAAAGAGCAGGCAGAGGCGGAGGCCTCGAGGTGGGGTTGGGTTGCGGGCCGAACGTGCAGTGTGTTGGTGTTGATTGAGACGCGGACAAAGGACAAGTACTTTACACAAACCCCGACAGGACGGCAGACAGAGGCCGTCAGACAGACGATGAGCTAAAGAGGAAACCGGAAGACAGCGACAGACACCATCGGGAGTCAGTGCCAGAGCCACACACATGCCCACTTACCACCATCGCTCGTATCCACTCAAAGTGCCAGGAAGCCAAAATATCCTCGAGGATATGGTTTTTATCACTGCTGTCCTCCCAGGGGCCTGGTTTAGGGTCCTTGTGGATAGATTAAAGTGAAATGTTCTCTTTACAACCCAGAGGAATGAAGGTGAAAGGGTTAAAGAAAAAATGTGAAGGTTTTACATCTGGGTCTTAAAGTTGACTTTTTGGCCAGGTAACTAGGCAGTAGCCTCTAGGTGAGAATAACATTGTTCTCACCAAATGCTCTGCACAGATTGTAAACACACGCATTGCACAGGAAAGAGATGTGGCTTGCAATGCAGACAAGAGCCATAATAGATTATTTTTCAGTACTCACCTTTGTATTGACCTCAAAGTAACTGAATTTGATAGCTGATTTAAAAGTGGACTGATTTGAGGGTTGTGTTTGCTTGGGTCCATTCAACTATAGCAACCTGTATCCAAGGGAGGCCCCTATGTATATAATGTTTTACAATGACAGTGGTGAGTTTGGTTTAAACTGTGTTAACCTAAAGTAAACTGTCCAAAACTACATAAAAAGACCCACAGTGCAAAAACAACAACATTCCATTTACATAACAAAGGCCATAGTTAAAGCAAAATGTTAGGAGGATGGGGGAGAGTCAGGAATTGAAGGAGAAATGAGAGAAAGCAAAAGACAAAGCAAGAGATATGCATCTGAGGGGAATAGAGATGATCCACCTGATGTATGTGTGTGACAAAGAGGAAAAACAAACAAACAATGCAGTGTATTTTGCATGGAGAGACAATACCCCTCCATGCCTCTTTCACCCTCCTTTTTGTTTTCATTCCTCCCTCTATTAGCAAAACATGATTAAAATGCAGTTCCTTCCAGCGTCTGTGCTGAACAAGAGGAAAGAAACGGTGAGATTGGGGGGAAAAAATGAAGCGGAAAAGTCAAAAGCATCTTTTAAAGCGTGACGCTTTGTATCCTTCACAGGCGGCGAGAAGAAAAGAGAACAGAAATTCTAACTTGTTTGTCTTCCCCTGTCTCCCTCTGCCTCTCTTTCCCATTCTGCCCAGCTATTGAAACCCCCCTGATACCTGAGGACAACCCCGCTGCACCACAAGCTCAATAGCCTCCAAACAACAACATTACAGTCACACTGTTTTTTCATAGCATTGATATAATTCCCAGCGCTCTCTTTAGTCCATCACATTATGCCATGGCGCTATCTGAGCGATCAGTGCGGTGCCGTGACTGGGACTGAGCGAAGAGTCGGGGCTTGGGAAGGTACAAGCAGAGCGTCATATGCTGAGACAGAGTGCACACCTTATCAAACATTACATGGAGCAAAGAGGCACTTGCTCAATCACATAGAAAAAGGCAATAGCAAAGACAGAGATGGGGAGAGAAATAGACGGACAGATATAAACAGAGATATACTGTATGTTCAAACCTGAAGCTGAAAATGGTGGTGAAGCCTGCAATAACTGGATGTGTGCTTTTACTAGCCATTTGCCAGGAGGTATACATTTACCAGAGAACCATTGATAAACAGATATAGATGTGCACAATTGAGAGTGTGTTAGTGCGTGTAGTATGTGTGTGAATGAGTCATGCCAAATGGAGAAATGGAAGAGGGCGGAACGGCTTTCTCAGCACTATAGATGACAACAGATACTGTGGTGCAGGAAGAAGGTTGTGTAACGGGAGGAAGGAAGAAAGACAGGACTGTATATACTCAATAGTGTATGTACAGTGGACTCATCAAGACATTGTAAATACAAAACAAACAGCAGGTAAAAAGCACTTATAAAATGGATGTGTATTATGCGAGTTGTGCATGGGTCATATCGTCTTATAACATTAAAAACTGTATCTTAATCCCATAAGGCAAACCTTTCATCAGCTGGTGCCTCAGTAAGTCAAAAACAACAATCAAAAAACAACAAATAGGTTACTATTCGACCCATGTCCTAGATGAAAACAGATCGCATTGCTGGTTAATGTGGTATGACTTAGATTTGGTCTATGAATTACACTAATCATATCAGTGTCATACAGATTGTCCAGATCAATGAGCTAATGAATTAAGTCAACTCTATATTCACCATCAACTCTGCTCATGAGGGAGGGAAGGAGAAAATGAGCAAGAAACGGGAGAGATATTAAAGGTGCATGTGGTACGTCTGTGTGTGTGTGTGTGTGTGTGTGTGTGTGTGTGTGTGTGTGTGTGTGTGTGTGTGTGTGTGTGTGTGTGTGTGTGTGTGTGTGTGTGTGTGTGTGTGTGTGTGTTTGTATGTGTGAGCGAGATACAGAAAGATAGACATAGAGAGAGAAAGAGAGAGGGAGTGCACCGAGCAGTAAGCCCGTGAGCAGGACATGATTGCAGTGTGTATCTTATCTGTGTCAGGTCCTCCTGAGGCTAGTGGAGCCTAGCTGAGCGGAGCGGAGCACGAGCGCTTCAGTGACCAGTCAACCGTGTGGGGGTAATCTCCTCACTCCTTCACTCTGTCTCTCTCTCACTCACTCTCTCTCTCTCTCTTTCACCCCTTTTTCCAGTAAGCCCCCCCTCTGGGAGGCAGCTGAGCGACTGCACACACACAGTGAGCCGCTCACACAAACACTTTTACACACAAACACTCACAGCCATGCAAAGCCTTAAGGTGATTGCCTCATGCCGGCTCTGGACAGTGAGCCCACAGGTGAGAGGAGCCATCACAGGCTACATTGCACACCGAAGCCCCTGCAGACAGTGGCCTGTACATATAGGAATGCTATCTCACACTGTCCAAGTCCACAATGTTACTTCAAGCTGCATCGGAATATACTGAAAAGGTCCATAAAGGTTGCAAGGGACATATTTAAACCAGTAAAATATGATTTGTCTAGAGGGTGAACGGATGGTTGCGATGATAAGAAGTAGATATGTGGATGTGCATACTCGTGTCATTTAAATATTGCAGATATTCTGAAAAGTCACAGGTGTTATATTATAATCGCTGCTATTCTATTTGTATCAGTTCCAGGGTCCTGGTGTTGTGCATGATGCTCAGTGGATTGAATTGAGCCCCTGTCAATGAACATAAAACACCTCTGCTTTAGTTACAAGTCAACATTTCTACAAACATAAAAAGGCAATTATATATGATGGCAAAATACTCTAAAGATCATTTTCCAAGGCAAATTAAAATATGTCCAATGATAACTACATGCCGGATTATGTTTCATTACAATATGTATTTTAAGGCATGTGATGAAAATATGGGTGGCTAAAAAGATAACATTTTTTTTTTTAAAAGATAATTTTCCATGCAGAATGTTTTTAATACAGATTCTGTCTAAGTGTTTAGTGTCCTACATCTGTGTACTGGATCACTAATGTACTTCCAAGGAGAAAAGGTGCATCTGCAGCTTGCCGCTATGTTTAAAATGAGCTTTTATTGAGAATAGAGGTTAAAAACTGGGGCTGTATATTGCTAACAGATTTTATGTGTGTCTGTAGGAAATAAGAATAGAGCAACATTCCACGTTGAAGGTCAGTGCACACACACAGTGTGTGTGTAGGAGGAGGAGGTGAGAGGAAAATAAAAATAGTTTGTGTCGAACCTTTTTTCACCATCATGGGCCTGCCTACTAGCCTTTAACAACGGAGCCGTCCACATCAATTAGTCCTGATGCTACACTTTCATTGAGATTAAGTGACTAATATCAGTGCTTGCTCACAAGAAAGACACTTTTCACGTCTGCTCAACAATCTGTTAAGTCGAAACACATGTGGTGATCCAAGGCAAAAAGCCTGCAAGGGGTCTTCCACGCAATGAAAAACAGGTGCTCTACTTTTTGGCCATGTAATACCCCATTTAGCCTCTGGAGCAAAGGTTATCCAGCTAATAGCTGCCTTGTGGTGCACTGGGAAGAGCGGTGCACATGGCCGAAGTAAACATCTGGGACGGATTGTACATACTTGCAACATATGCTTCAAGTTCAATTAAAATGAGGCCTTGGCATATTTATTAATCTTTTTTTCCCTCCGCTTTCTGTTGCTCACCCTCTCTCTCCCTATTTCCATCTCCCCCCTATAGGCTTGTGCTATAAAAGAGGCCTCCTTTGACCCGTCCTTCATACTTACACATACAATCTGTAGCTGTACCTCATATCTAATGTAAAAGACCTCATATCCAATGTAAAGGACACATTTGTTAAGCCTTGAAAATGTATTTGTTCTGCACTTAACCAGGTTGGAGGAAGAGCAAAGGGACAAGAGAGAGCGAGAGAGAGGGAGAGAGACTGCAAGAATAAAAGAAAAAAAGCAGGGAAGAGGACGATTGAGCGAAGGGTAGAAGGAGAGTGGGAGGGGGAGATATGTAGGCGAAGAAAAAAGAAAAATGCCCCCCTTTCAACCTCCCTACAGCTCAAATGAAATGCTAACAGTTGAGGGGAGCAATAGATCAAAATGTATGAAGCCAGAGTTGGTAAATTGTAGCCTTTGTGGCGGCTGTGCTATCCAGCATCCCAGCCCTGTGTGAGCACAGAGAGCAAGACCCTCTTATGTGGAATAATCAGTTTGGCACCAAATCTGACAGAGGCCGCAAAAGCTGCTGCTGCACCTCATTTCAATATGAAAGTCCAAAATGTATTTCATATAATCTGCAGCTTTTCAAATGCCTGTATTTGTATTTTTTCCCCGAGAGGAGGTGGGGAATGCAATGATGGAGGGCAGACGTAAAGGAGGGGTAGAAAAAAGGTTCAAGGTTGCCTTGTGCATATCTTCAGTCGGTGGCCCCCTGCACATTTCAGCCTTGGAACTTCACAGCCATGAAACTTTGCTCCTGCATCACTGTGGGAGAGGATGTAATGCTCACGTATCTTTGTGTGCTCATGGCCCAATTGGCTGCCTGGCTGACTGATTGCCTGACAGGCTGACTTTCTGGTGGGATGACTATTTGACCATCTGCACTATAAATGTGTTTTTTTTAACCCTTTACTTGCAGGCTTGCACTTACGACCCTTTCAAATGTGGAGAGGTTGTAGCAAGGTTGCACTTTTATTAAATCCAGCATTAAATGTTGCAGTGCATTCAGAATACAGTGTCCTCAGGCAAAACAATTTTCAAATATCAAATTGCCTGGTCAGAGGCCTTTACAATTACTATTGCAAATTCCTCTAAAAAGATTACCAAACCAGACCATGGAATTTACCACATCTTAGCCTCCTAACCTTTATATTGCTGGAGTGTGGCTGTGAGGCATCGAATATCAGCTCAAGTCATTTCAGATTCCAGACTGTTCAGTCAAGGTACTTTACTGATTTCACAGAAAAAGATTTGGACTTAAAAGCTTAAAGCTATTATTGTGTCCTTGTTTAACACTGCCTGAGTCTCATCTCGACTATCAAACAGAATATTGTTTTCATTTTAAGTGTGCCTCCCCAAAAACCAGACAACACAGTGGGAGGATAAAGAGCTGTGCCATTTCAATTACCATTCCCAAGTGGAACATTGACAAGGGACTGTATGCTATCCAGTGGCATTTGTTTCAGTAGCTGTTCCTACAGTGTAAACGAGCGGAGGCAGTAAAGCAGCCACCTGTTGTTACCTTATAGTGTCTGGACAAGCCCAGATGCTGTTTTACTGGGACATAAAGGAGCAGTGAATGGGCCTAAATAGCTAACTAAGCTCTTTATATGGGCGCATGTTCTCAGGAAGCAGGGCTGAAGCACAACGTTAGGAAGGTAAATTCGACATAGTGTTACATGAAGGGAAGTATAACGATAGCGTGGCAAACTGCAGTAACAGACCAAAGAAAAAAAGCACAAGGGCAAAAGGTGAGACATGTGAAGTTGATATACATATATCTAGAGAGAAAACTTTTCAAAAGGTTAAAAAGGTTGTTCAATCTTTGTACATGTGTTTGTGCCTCAGGCAGTGAGAAAACCTGTACAGGGAAGGAGATGGGGGGGGTGGAGTCATTTCACTCAGCTGTGTGTTTCCGGTGTGTGAAGCAGTGTCAACCACTCCTGAGGCAGTGTGCGCACGTGCTCGTGTGCGTTAGTGCATACCTTTGTGTACATGATTGTGTGTGACTGCATCCCTGAGACAAGACATAATTACCTTGTCATCTTTGTCAAAATCCTCATCCTCGTCCTCCAGCAGGTCCTCCACTGCTTGCTGACAGTTGCAACAGAGGGGAAAGAGAGGGAAAAAAAGAGAAAAATAATGTTTATGCAGCAGCTATAGTACAGATAAACACCAGCTAACACAGGGTTAATGTCATCAGAAGAGCCAAAGAGGCATAATAAAGCTGATTGGTTATGCTTATGTCTGGCAAGAGTTTGTTAATGAGTATGGAAAGCAACTGTGTGTGCTAATATGTCAAGAGCCTCAAAAACGTTTGGAATTGGAATTTAATTTGAGAAACATTCTGTTGTTCAAATGTGTTGACACTTCGGGAAATGTAAGCAAATGCTGTGGCTTTGAGTTTCAGCGGGCTGAGGATTAAACTCTATTCACCCACTCAAATCGCATTGCACAAAAGCATTCAAATCTTTCACAATTCAGCGCGACGAGACCACTGATAGCCACTCTTCTTCTTCTGTTTGTGGTCGGTCTCAGTCGACCTCTTATAACCTTTGCACTCGTCTCTCACCTCTACAGCCAGCCGTCCTATAGCTATACACTTGTCTATCTATAGCTTCCCATTCTTTCACAGAATGATGCTCCACGAGAGAAGAAAGCCTGCAGCGCAGAGAGCAAGTCACAAAGAACAGCAACTACGTGCTTCAGTGGTCCACAACCGATGAAACTGGAGCTGGTGTAGCTCTGAAGCCCCCAAATACCATGATGCATACTGTACAACACAAAGGAAGAGATGACACACTCATGTGCACACAGCCATAAACAAAGAGGCACACAGGGAGTGTATGACATAACAACGGAACAAGCAAGTTTGGCTTTTCCTGTTAAATAATGAGGATGAAGGATTGAGATGAGGACATTTCAATTCACATACAGCTCAGACCTCAATCTGTGTGTGAAAAGCAGGCAGTGAAACAAATGTCTTGGCATATATGGAAAGCCCTGAACCAACAATAGCAGCTTGAGCCACTGTGTTTAGCGACACCATATCTAAGTGTTTAGAGTTAAAGTACTTCAGTTGTTTTGGTGCATTTTTGAGCATGCACAAGTTCATGTGTTAGTCTGATGCCAATGAGCGGCAAATCACAAATCACGACTGCATCTCGTATCAACCCTCTTCCTGTCGATGACACATCAAAGCTACAAGGTCATATGGTTGCTCCCAATTTGTATAAACAAACACCCATATCATAAACCCTACAGCTGTTAGCCCCATCTACTCTCATTGTTGTATTGCTTCACAAACCCCAACCCCCAAAAGTCTTTGCTCAGCCTCAACATCACCACAACCCGCTAACCAGCTCCAGAACAGCACAAACTACTTTGGAGGAATCCAAAAATCATTACTTAACAAGACAATAGCTTTTGTCTTTTTTGTTTTTCATTGGAATAAGGGGGGAAACTATGTGGCGGCTGACATAAGCCTCTTATGTAAATGCAGCTTCCCACACAAACAAAGAGGAGTTCAGAACAGCAGAGTTGAGAGGGGAGCGTCAATAGTGTGTGTGTTCTGTCAATAGCTCGGTTACACTAGGCAAAGTGTTGTTGTGCATGTACGCCTTGCACCCCTTGTTTTAACTGTACAGCAACTGGTTATTCCCACTTCACTGAGACTCCATCAGTGTCTAGACAAATAAGTTAGATGTTTCACAGTTCACAATCTCTTTATTGATACAGAATACATTCATATACTCTACAGCGCACAAATACCAGAGAGGGAATTCTTGAGCTCAGCCGAGGCAAGAGATGTAGACTTGATACAGTAAAATGAAAGCCTTCTGGCAACACTAAACAAATGAACTATAACTGCTTATAAAGTCATCATGGTTCCTCCCAAATCCTTTCACCCGTGCCAAAATACAAACATAATGGATTCCACCACACAGAGGCTTTACTAGGGCACGCCTGGCACACGCTCCAAACTTTAAACAAAGGGAATGAGCATGAGCTAGCTGGAGAAGCATGACCTAGAGAGACAGAGAGAATGATAGAGTCGTTTGTCTCCCTCTGCTCTGCGCTCTGCTCTCTCTCCTCTATCGCCTCTGGTTACAGAGAGAAGTCATGTTTCCTGCGATGAGACACAGTGTAAAATTAATAAATAAAAAGACATGGAACATGTCATCTGCCCTGAAGATTGCCACGGCTAAATGTGTGCACTGAAGCTACTGTCTCAGTAAGGGAGGATATCAATTACCTCAGTACAGCCGATGAATTCCAAACATCTTTCTTTTTCTCCCTCTACCTCTCTATTGGTCCCATTCTTTCTAAGACCTGTTTGCTGTATGATATCATTTATCTGCTTATCCCCCCATTATCATGTTGTTTGAATTACTATCATTACAGCACGGCGCCATCAAAGCCTTACTGTCGACAGGACGGCGTAGGGCTCACGTTGCCTGCAGAGCTGCTCCAGTCAGTTCTACATCTACTGAGGTGGGGATTAACATATTCAGACCTATTCAAATGATACAGGGATGATGCAGGCTACTCTTACAGATTACACTGTGCCCCATAAATACATACAAGGATTGTGATAGTATAAAATCCACACAAACAATATAAGTGAGAACAATGACATTGAGAGTTCAAAATAGCTGTGAATATCTGAATACATCTGTTTGGCCTTAGTGGCTTCAAAACTGATTTGTAAGAACTTAGTTTCTGTTGCGTTGGCTCCGATCCCAGCTCTGCTACATCACTCTCATTCTGGCTCTCTTTCTGTACTTCCAATCAATGCAAATATAGTGCCTGTGAAGAACAAACTCATGTCAATTAAAATTGAGTGGAATGTCTTTACTCAAAAAAAGCCTACTATGCTGCAGTTAGAGATTTTGATGTGAAAATAACTTTTTATGACACCCAGTCCATAAACCAAACCAAATCAGATGTGTAATACCCCCTTGTTTGGTGTTTTCTTAATGCATCCTTTCATGACTTTTTCTACAAGCTACAAAGCTGGGACTTAGAGAGACCTATGTTTTGCATTGTTAGCATTAACATTTAGCCTTACAGAGTGTGATCTTTCTCCCCATGCACTGTTGCTTTGGTCCTGATGAAGTGCGTGTTACTAGCTTACATTTTCCTGGACAGAGTTTGATTTATGTCTGGAAAAACAAGAGTATTCTTAAAGTTAGATCAAAGTGTTTTTGGATTTGATTTCCGCTGCACAGGCTGATTGACTGAGGTGTGATGAGTTGTTGAGGTGTTGAGAAGAAAAAGCAGAAAAATAGTTTTCAAGAACATTCTATCAGGTAGAAATTGAAGAGGGCAATTTGTTTATTCTCCTTTTGCCCATACAGGGATCAACAGCACAGGCAAAATGTGCCTATATTAGGATGGAGAGCAAACACTTTGGGGCAAAAGGGTTCATTTACTGTATGTGTCCTTCTGTTTACAGAATAATCTGGTGACTCTGTAGTGTGACAGTAATTATAGGTAACCCCTCAATTTCAATCAGGGCAGATTTTTTTTTAATTGTTCAGTAACTGGAGTAAAAGTCTTAATTTAAACTGTGGCGTTTGTTATTCTTGTCCAGGTATAAACTCATTAAACTCCTTCCCTGAATAATACAATGTGAAAACAAGTAGTAAAATGAGGTTATAGGGAAAGGATATCCCTTCGAGGGGTTGGTTGATCCTTTAATGAAAGTAAGTGAGAAAATAAACCCTGTTTGGATCGAACAAGTGCGCATGCACACACACACACACTCCACAGAGAGAAAGTAAAAATCTACTACCTGAAGTAGTAGCCACATCATTTCCCCCCTCCTCTGAGATGCTTCTAAACTCGGCCCTCTCTCTCCCTGGCCGGGCTGAGTTCCACTATCTCCCCTCCTAACCTTCCCAATGACAGCCGCATTGGGAATTGACGCCGAAGCAGACATCCCAGCGAACATGAAGATATACTTTCTGCTTTTTTCTCCTATTCCTCTATCCCTCCCTCCCTCCATCCTCCTGCTGCTCTTCCTCTTTGATACGTGAGGGGGTTTTAACCTCTCCAGCTGCTGAGGTTTGGCCGATTGGCTAGCTGGGGGATCTCAAGGCCCTACTTGGTATGCACCGTCCATGAATGTGTGTGTGTGTGTGTGTGTGTGTGTGTGTGTGCATGTGCATATTGCCTACACCACAGTTTCTGCAGACTTGGGGAGGGCTGTGCGCCTGAGAAGGGCTGCTGGCTGAGTCTGGCTGACCCACGCAAGCTCTTCACAAGCTGTCAGAGCCGTGGCCCTCAGAGGGGGGCCCTTCCATCTGCACTGCCCCAGCCAGGGCTCACCCAGCAGGGGGCCAGAGAGGGGTGAGGCCGGGGTGCTACCGGAGCTGGAGGCTGGGGGTGGGGGTAAGAAGGGCAGCTCCATATTCATGAAAGCAACACCAAATCTGTTAGCATTTGAAATAATTGAGTTTCACAATAGTAATGTACACTCTGTGCATTTGGTATTGTTTATTCGCTGACAAATCAGTAAGTACGGTATGTTTGTGCAGGGATTCAGCAGCTATCAAGAGGAAAGCACCATTTCACACGCTCCACTAGCCTTCTTGACACTGTGAGTAAATATAGTAAATCCAGTGAGAAGATGTGTTTCCTTCTCAAACAGATGATGCTGTATTGTCTTATTGTTTCTTATACTCAGTTGTGGCAAAGAGGGCTAGAGCTGGTACACACTTGATGTGCAATCAACTGCACACAACCCCACTCACATCTGTAGGCTTTAGCTCAAGGTTTAAACCAAATAGCTACAGCGGGTGTACTGTATAGACAAAACAACAAGCACTGAGGCAGACACCCTGCTGCTGACGTTGTTAGCAAAAGAGCACAGACAGTTACAAAGGTTCAGTATGATAAAGGGAGTTAAACAAACGGAGGGAAAGAAGGAGAAAGAGAGACAACATGATGAAAAGGAAGGCTGGGAAGAATCTGCAGTGGCATTCATGATGCTCCCGATGCTCCCGTCCCGCTTCAAACTATGCCCGTCGCCTGTCTTTCTGCCTGCCAGCCTGCCATCCTATCTGCCAGTTTAGCAGAGACAGAGAGGA